GGGGGACAGGGGGGGACAGGACAGCCACCCACCACGCACGAGAAATAAAAAGTTAAAAATATGTCCCAATATACAATGAGAATTGATCTGTACAGCACTGGGAATGAAAATAGGTCACGGGCCACTTTGGGATACGTTTTTGTCATTTAACAGCATTTACAGTGACATTTACAGAATAAATATACAATAGAAATAGAGAATCTCTAAGTTATTATCCCATCTCCTCTCTCTGTATATATTTTATATATATATATAATATAGCTTTGTTGTGTTTTTTTTGTTGTTGCCTTCTGATTGACTTTGCCTCTTAATGACGCTGCAAGAAGAGGGGAGGAAAGTGATCACCTCCCTGGCTGGTTTGGGAATGGGGATGGGAGAGACGGAGGGTCGGATCCTTCCCCCTCCGGGGTCTGAGGAGCAGCACCCCCCAGGAGTGGAGGGGACCGAGCACTTCAGGAGGTGTCCTGCTCCAGTAACTCCATGGGAGCTACGGTGGGAATCTGGCCCCCAGGGTCAGGGGCATCAGGAAGGTGATGTTGGGCAACAGTTTGGCTCATGCTCTGTTTTGCTGGTTGGGTGGAGGACACTGGGGACAGAGGGAGAAGTAAGAGATGGAAGGGAACATCTTGCCTAACGGTGGGGAAACGCCACAGGGTTTGTGCTTCTCCCATTCAGGGATGACGTGGTGGGGATATTTCCATGTCCCTCTGCACGGTAGGGACATAGAAATAAGGGGAAAGACAGTGGAGGGGATGGTGAAGGGGGAAACGCTGGAGGAGAGACAAGAACATGGCTGGTCCTGACCACACTGGGCTGGTGCTTCTCGGAGCCATCAAAGATGGAGCTGCTTTGGTTCAGTCCATGCCTCCATCATCCCTCCCCTCAGCAGAAAAATCGTTGATGAAGGGCCTCAGCTAATTGTTCAGGAAGAGTCTCCAGGTCACCAGCCAAGCCCATGGAGAAGGACTAAAAACGAAGGATCACAAACATCATTTTGGGGGATCTCCTGGATGCAGGGATGCGAAGAGAAGTCTAGGATGTGGCAAATGGACTGGATATTTTCTGCCTTTGCCTCCCAGACAAAAGGAGAATCAAGGAGCTTCTTCACCCATTGATAGGAAAGCAGAGGAGAGGAGGGTTCGTGGGCAAGCACCCCCAAACTTGTTCTTCAGGCTGGCTTGAAATACCATCACGCAGGATCTAAGCCCAGCAGGACCACGGATGAAGAGCTCCCTCAGCTTTTGGAGGCCACAACAACATGATGAGAGGTGGGAGAGGGTACAAGCAGGCTGCTGCTCCCACCTCCCCATGAGAAAAGGAGGAAGATGCCCCATAACACTGGTACCCTTGGCAGAAATGCTCAGATGGATGTAGGATTCAGGAAAACAACCTTCAGTCCCAGTGGGAGAGACTCTGAGCTGGGAGATCCCAACCTTTCCTAGATGGCATGGGGAGAAACAGCATAAGGGCACATGAATCTGGTGCCCAGATAACGTGGATGGGCACAATAGAGGTCCCTGGACTCTAACAGGGGCTCACCAGCCTGGATCAAGAGCTAACGGGGACACTGGGACCTGGCACTGACTCCCAGTAACTGCTGCTCGGACCTCTGCTGTCCCCAAGGGCTGGTTACCCCCATCCAAAGGCTGGTGAGCCCCCATGGAGGTGCAACAGGAGGCCAGTGCAGAGGCCCTGGTTCAAAGCTATGAGATATGAGGTTGACTCCCAGTAACTGCTGCTTGGACTTCTGTTGTCCCCAAGAGCTGGTTACCCCCATCCAAAGGCTGGTGAGCCCCCATGGAGGTGCAACAGGAGGCCAGTGCAGAGGCCCTGGTTCAAAGCTATGAGATATGAGGACGTTTGTCCAGAGATAATCACTGTCCAGCTCCCCCCAGCCAGAGGTAAGTCAGGGGGTGGTTTCCTGAGAGCTAAACCAGGACTGTGATGGGACTGGATGCCCCACAGCTCTTCTGCTTGTCCCTCTGGGACATCTAAAGAGAGTGGCAAGAGGAGACAATCACCAAGCCAGGGATTTTGGTTCAGGGGAGCATCCCACACATCAGGAGTAATTCCAGGAGAGCACTCCTGACCCCCATCAACTGTCCAGACCCCCCCAACATGCTTACACATCCAAATCACCACTCCAGAGGACCTTCTGCCACTCAGCACAATAACTGCCTAACCACGGAGCACACTGACCACATCATCCCATGGATGTGACGCCTCCATGTCTCAAAACAACCCACTGACGCTGTCCCCACGCTGGTGGTGACAAAACCAAGGACCCACCATCCACCATCTCACTCATTGCAACATCTCAGCCAGCCCCGTGCTGCTCCCTGCCAACCCTGGTCAAAATTCTGGGGTTATTTGAGTGTGTCCACAGCTATAAAAACCTACAGGAGATACAACAACAACAACAACGGTGACAACAACAGCACCCTTTTGTGCTATGAAACATCGATGGTTAATTGTGCTCGTTGGAATAAGGCCATGACTCCTCCCTGCTAAAGGACAACAGACTGGGAGGGAAGAGCGCTGGGTGACAGGGGGAAGCGTGGTTGGCTTTCCACCTGCCACCAGGTCCTTTTTCCAACCATCAGCTCCTTAGAAACGAGAGATTCTTTGCTTCAGATACGAGCTGCAGGAGAACAACTCTCGGGAAGGTATTGCAGCGTCTCTTGTTCCTCCTCTCTTCCCCAAGGGCAAGCCCAGGGGATCCCGCCTTTCACGGGAGGGTTGTCAGAGGAGTCCTGCCCCTCCCATGGTCCCTTCTTCCTGATGTCAACCTTAGAAATGCTTTGGGTTACGACTTTAAGAGGGGGTTTTCTTCTTCATCTTCTTTATGAATTAATTTTCCTGTTGCCTGGACAGCCAGGATCCACTCCCCAGTGACTTCCTCTCCCGGTGGGGGTGGTGGGCAGGCAACCATCACAGTTCGGATTCGGGGGTGCTGGCCAGTAGGTACCCACTCCCGTATCGTCCGTTGGGGGCAGTGCTCATTTCCATGGGGGAGTTGCTGCCAGGACCCAGGTAGGAACGGTGCGTGGGCATGGGGGAGGGGGTCTCACTGGGCACTTTGCTCAGGATGAAGCGGGTCTCATCGTTGTCTTCCAAATTGGAGATGTCCTTCATCATCCGGCCCTTCTTGTAGGTAACGGAGAGGGCGTTGGAGCCATCTGACACAAGGTGGAACTGTCGGAGGATGAAGACCAGAGGCAGAGGGAGGGATGCCAGGATGATCAGAGAGATGAGAATAGCCATGGCCCAGGTTGGGTAGAAAAGGAACTTTTCTGCGGCCTGGAAGAAGAGAGATATTAATGTCAAGGGGCTGTTACAGCAAAGGTGATGCACACCAGGTACAACATCTCCTAAGTGCTGGCCAATTCCTGCCACCCTTCATCCTCGGGGGCACCAGATGAAGCTATCAGAAGGTGGGTTCAATCCAAGGAAAAGGACATGGTCCTGCACACAGCGTGTAGCTGTGGAAGCAAATCAGACTCCAAGCTCCAAATTCAGCCCATGGTTCAGACCTGGCTGGAGACTTCTGGGCAGTGTGGACAAACCTGCTTGCCTGCAGAGTGGCCACAGGTAGGACATCTCCCAGCAGGAGATGGGAAGAGAAATGAGCAGGGCTGGGAAGAGCTGGGTGGTCTCCAGCTCTCCGCTGCCCCCTGCTCAGCCTGGGTCTGGGGTGGAGGTGGCTGTGGGGACAGAAGCTGTGCTCACCTCCTCTCTGATCCACGCGCTGTAGCCTGGGGGGCTGACTCCCAGCTGGATGATGCTGGCGGTCATGAGCACGGCCATGCAGATGGGAGAGACGTACTTCCAGGTGTAGTAGTAGAACTGATAGGGCCGGAAACCCAGCATTTCCGTCAGCTCCTGCATGAACCTGCCGAGAAGAAGAGACGGAACCATGCCATTCCCCACCTTCAAGTAAGAAACTCCCTCCCAGGAGCCCCCGTTGTAAATTATGCTCAAGGTAGAGCCTGAAGAACCACCCAGCTGATCCAGGAAAGCATCTCAGTCTCCCTCAAGCCTGTAGGACTGGTTGGGAACCTCCTAAGGAAAAGGCCATTTGAGCATTAGCCAGAACCTCCTTTTCTCTGGCCAACTCATGAATAACAAGAACAGGCACTGGGGAACAAGGTCCCCTTCCAGAAGGACCTGGAAACCTCAGACAAAAGGGTAACCATGAGCGACAGAGCACCACAACCAACAATAGATACCCCCTAGAAGGACCTGTTCCTGGGCCTAGGGCAGGGCAGGAGGATCAAGGTGAACTGAGTTCCTGCCTCTGTAAGGTCACTGCCCTTCAGGCACTTGCTCCATCAGAGCTGGCCTCCTGGGGAAAAAGCCATATGGAAAAGAGCTGGAAGGAGGTGGGGTTTTTTAAGGCAGGAGTTACAGCACAGTTACTCTTTTTGTTGTACGAACGCCTTACTTATTGGTGCCATAAATCCAGGCCACAGCAATGTTCTCCAGGATGACCACGACCGTGAGTGGCAGCGTGGCTGAATAGTCGTCAAACATGGTGACAAAGTAATTCCCAGAGCGCTGCACAAAAATCAGTCCCACCACGAAGGCAAAGATGCAGCAACCAACTGTGGGGAGCAAATGGGTATGGTCAAGAGGGCACCCCAAGGGGAACCAAAGCCTCCTCCACAAGGTCTGGTCCCCTGCATGAGCAGGGCCCAGTACACGTCCACTATGCGTTCCCCACATGAGCAGGGCCCAGTACACGTCCACTATGTCCACACTCTTCTGGAGTGACTCCTCAGGGCAATGGGGACCCTCCACCCCTTCCCCAGGAGGTTGCAGGAGAAAAGACCTCACCTGTGAACACTTCCTTCCGCACCTTGAAGGTGTCGATGATGGGTGTAGTGATGCCTGACATGGTCCCGATCATGCTCCCCAGCCCCAGGTTTATCAGCATCAGGAAGAACATGACAGACCAAAACGGTGAGGCTGGGAAGTGGGTCATGGCTTCTGTGAAGGCAATGAAGGCCAGGCCAGTTCCTTGCACTGACTGTTCAGGGGAGAAAGGACCAAAAGGTGAGGAGAAACACATCAGGGACACAGCCTACAAGCACCTGCATCCCTCAGGTTTCTTCTGAGGCACTAAACCACTCTTCAAGGAAAGAAAAATCCAGTCTGGTACCCCAGCCTGGGAGCAGTGATGACCCTGATAGACTTGCTATGGTGAGACCTCTCCCCCACCCCAGGGAGGACCACTCTGTGCTGAGGAAGACCACAGGGACGGGGAATCCTCATCCCTGGATGGTGTCCAGATCCATGTACCAGGAGTGACACAAGTCACAGGGAGAGACAATGGGGTAGGTGACCACCTGGCCACCGGGTACCTTGTTGAGTTCGTCCTCCAACAGACAGGCATCCAAGCCCAGTTCTTTGAAGTGCCCCTCTTTCACTGTCATGATCACCCTGTACATCTCATTGTAGTCCTTGGCGGTGAGGTGGGAGAAGTTCACATGGGGTGGGATGAGGTCATGGCTCAGCACATTGGTGTTCAGGTAGCCCAAGATCTTCTCAGCATTCCTAAGGGAGAGCAGAGCCTGGTCACCCTGAGATGTTCCCTTCTTTCCAGGGTGGAGGACGGGCCCTGACTATGGATGCCCTTCACACCAGATAGGGTGAACCTCCCTGGTCATGTTACCCAGGTCCCATACAGAGGACCTCTTTGCAGTTTCCCAAGGTGTAAGTCAACATTGCATTAGGCCGTATGACAAAGGACACAGATGGGAACCACCAGAGAATGGCCATCTCTGTGCTGCCTTCTCAGCCACGTGCTGCTGTGGCTTCTCTCCTGCTCTGAGACTCCACACTCCATGGCCAGGACTTTCACAGATTCAGCTCACTCTCTGAAGACAACACCAGGGGTACAAATTCTCCTTCCTCCAGCTGCTCCTCAGGTACAGCACAGCAGCTCCCTTAACCTCGCAGACAAGTGGACCCCACAACGAGCAGAAACTGGGGGAAACCCAGGAAACCCAATGAGATATGTTGGATTTACCCTCAATTAGCAGACCAAGAGATCATCTTGGGGCTGGGTTTTAGGTTGGAGGAGCTGAATACCCAACTCCCTCAGCTATCATGGGACACCTCTGGAGATCAGGGTCTTGACCATCAGAAACTTGGGTCCACCAAAACACAGTATCACTCAGCTCCAGAGCACTCTATTGCCTCCAGACCCACCACAATCAGCAGAAACAAAGACCTTGTGCACCCCAAACAGAGAAAAATCAAGTCTTACTCCACCACACATTTCTCATTCATGATGTTGGCCTTGAAGCCCAGCACAGCGAACACAACCAGGGTGGCCAGAACGGACGTGAAGAAGTTGATGAAGGAGACAAGCGTAGCATCAAAGTGGCAGTTGTTGTCCTGCTTGTTGTAGCTGGAGAAGGCGATGACTCCCCCAAAGCCCAGGCCCAAGGCAAAGAAAACCTGCGTAGCTGCCTCCCGCCACACCTGGGGGTCCAGCATCTTGTCCAGCTTGGAAAGAAGACATAAGAAGAAGTCAGGTGGTTTGGTGGCCTCACAACTCATCCCAGTGGAGCCAGAGTTAAACTAGAAGGCTGCTGTGCCCACAACCTGGGCTGGTTTTGAAGGAGCCATGGGCATGCTTTGACCTACCACCATCAGGTCTTGCATCACCCAGTACTCATAGGTCCTTTTTCTCTTCTCCACAGAGGGAGAAACTGAGGCACAGAGAAGGGCAGGTGAAGGTTTGACCTGACCATGTCTCTGGGTGCTCCACTTGCCCCAGAGCCCAAGCGGGGTGCCCGGTCTCCTGGCACAAAACCCTAGTTTCCCAATGAACCACCCAGCTGCCCTAGGGAGCTGGAGTGCTTGTCCCCCCAACCCAAGGGAGTCCTGTGCCACCCAGTGATGGGTCTCCATCCTCCCCCAGAGCGCCTGGAGCACTTGAAATCAAACATCTTGGCTGGTGGGTCTGTTTAACCTCCCATCCCCCCCCCAACCCACATCCCCCTTCTCCTGTGAGCCAGAGCTGCAGGCTGGAGGCCTCCGAGCATCATTCATCAAGAGATCATAATTAATATCTTCTAACAGCCTCGCCGGCTGAGCTGATTCATCTACATCTCTGCTTAATTAATTAATTAGCTGGTTAATTAATGGCATGCATACCACCAGCAGAGGTTTCGCTGCCAGCCAGCATCTTCCCACAAAATCTTTAAATATATCGCCTTGGGCACCCCCAGTCCCCCACCCTGGTGTCTGGGCACCCAAAGGTGAGGGGAGTGATGCCAAGGCTCAAAGCAGCTCCAGGGTGATGAGTTTGTGAGGTTCTTGGTGGTCCTGGACATACTCCATATTTAGGGTGCTACTAGCACATCCTGATGATATATCGGGATCTCCGAGGTAGTTTGGGGTTGATAATCTGGTTTTTGGGCATAAGGGAAAACACGATGTGACCAGCCAGGAGAAGAACCTGCTTGGAGACTCTCACCTTGGGCGTGAACATGTGCATGATCCCATCCACTGCCCCGCGCAGGAGAAGTCCCCGCACCAAGAAGCAAACCAGCACCACGTAGGGGAAGAGCGAGCTGAAGTACATCACCTACAGCGAGAGGGGTGGAACAGGGGCCCAAGCTCATTTACTGCCCACCCAGCTCAGCCACCTCCCACCCAACCCAAGGACAGCACAACTGGGGGGTCTCCTTTGGGGTTACCCTCCCCAAAATGAGCTCTGCTCCTCAGGCAGAGCAGGATGCTCCAAGTGCTGAAGCTCAGGTGGGTTTCCAAAGTGCTTGGACACACTTAAAAGAGAAAGATCTGTTGGGGCTGCTGAACGTGAAGATGCTGGTGTTGGCTCAGAAAATCCCTGAAACACAAACTGCTGGTCCCCGGGGACCCTGAGGGAAGGACAATTCTGAACCTCCACCCCTTCTCCATCTGCCCAGGTGGTTCTTGGCACGGAGCACATTTCCAGCACCCCATGAGCAGATAGAGATGGGACTTCATCCTGGGCTGCTGCCATGGTCCTGCTGCTGCAGCTCACTCCCGTCCCTGCAGCTCACTCCCACCCCCCTGCTCTGGGGGCTGTGGGACAGGGGGTTCATCACCCTCCCTGCTAATGCACCAGATGTTTTACAGAGCACATCTGGAGACAGGGATGTTTAAGCATCCCAGGAGACCATGCCCTTCTTCATCTGACCCCACCGCTTACATAGCCTTGCTTGAGACATCAATGGCCTCTGCAAGCTGATGGCATCCCTCTCCCAAGGCTTTCTGGTCCTCCCTGCCCTGCTTCTCCTCCAGAGTCTCAGCAAAGGAAGGCTCAGCTCCCAACCCTGCGTCCTATGACCATCCTTTGAGATGAGGTTCATCAGAGGATAAAAGAGTTGATAGCCCCCAAACACAGGTGATTTGGTGAGCCTGATGCGGCTGCAGGTGTCAGTCAGACTAAACCTCATCCCAATGCTCTCTTTTGATCTTATTCTGGATCCCCCCAGAGATGGCCCCAGCTCTGGAGTGGGTGTGAGCACCCCAAGGGACACGGCATCCTCCAGCCACCCCAGATCAGGGCAGGAGAGTGTGGTCCAGGCAAGAGGTTTGTGCCTTGAGGACAGACCCCAGCCAGGCTCAGGTTGTCACCCACCTGATACCCACCTTTCCAGAGGACTGGATGCCTTTGATCATGGCCAAGCCAACAAGGCTCCAGGCCACCAGCAGACACAGGGTCATCTTCCAGTTGAGCCCCCCACTCTCTGAGATGGAGTTGGAGATGTCCAGGGTCTCCCGGTACCAGAAGTAGGTGGTGGCCGAGCTCCTCTCGCATTCGGTCTCCACAACTGCAACCGAGCAGAGGCAGGAGAGCATGAGGGGATGGAGGAAAGTCACCCACCATCTCTTAGGGGATGAATGTCAATTTATGTCAAAAACCTGATGGAGCCAGCCAGGGAAGGCAGGCACCCCTAGAAACTCAGGGACAGGAATTAATGAGGCTAATTTTTATCAGGAAAAAGAAAAGTCAGAACATAAAGCCACTGTCAGGTGAAAATAAGATGTTAAATACAGAAAGAGATGTTTGCATTTGCTACAAAACCTCCCAGAATGTCCCAAGGAGATGCTCAGACACTATTAAACCCCATTAGCTCCCTCAACATCTCAGTTGGGCACTGATGGAGCAACCAGGTGAGCCCTGCCTGGCTCCCCCCATGGTCCTGGGTCAGATCCTGGCCCCAAGTACCAAGGCAGCCTGGAGACCCAAGCTCTGGATCCCCAAACTGGCACCAAATCCCACCAGTGGGGACAGATCCCGATGGCAGAACATGGGAGAGACTCATCCAACCCAAGGGAAACATCTCCATATCACCAAGGCAGCTGGACTGGAGAGGACCTAGTGCCTCAGAAGACACCTCAACCTCCTGTGTCCCCAACCTGTGATAGATACAGATGTTGAAGAACCTCAGTGTCCTACAGCAACCACTTTCCTGGGAGCTTCTCCCTCCCAGCCAAGCCTCCCCCTATGTCACCAGCTGTCCCTTACCGGCCACCGAGCCGTTTTTCACGATGGGGCACTCGCTCCAGGGAAGAGGGTACTGCGTGTCCTACAGCACCCACTTTCCTGGGAGTTTCTCCCTCCCAGCCAAGCCTCCCCCTATGTCACCAGCTGTCCCTTACCGGCCACCGAGCCGTTTTTCACGATGGGGCACTCGCTCCAGGGAAGAGGGTACTGGAAGGACTTAAAGAAGTAGAAGATGCTCCAGCCGATGATGACGTTGTAATAGAGACCGACAAAAAAACAGACCTGGGGGGGAGGAAGGAGGACACGGCATTAAATGACAGGGCAATGACACTGTCCCCAACACACCTCCTGCTGGGCAGGCACCTGGGGGAGCAGAGCTGCTGGGATCAGGGGATGGGCCCATTCCCACCCAACCCTAGACCCATGAGTGGAGCTGGAAAAATTCCCCTTGACCACTCAAACCTTGGCATGGGGGCCCTCAAGGTTTGCTTCCAGGCCACCCCTTGCAAAGCCACCCCTCAGCAGGGACCGAGGGGACCCATGGGTGCACTCACGAGGCAGCTGGCGTAGCCGATGCCCCCCAGGCGAGGACAGATGTAATTCCAGACACCGATGCTGCCCCGGCGGATCCTCTGCCCCACCGCCAGCTCCAGGAAGAAGAGGGGGAGCCCGATGATGACGAGCAGGACCAAGTAGGGGACCAGGTAGGCACCTGGAAAGGGAAAGAAGTCACATCATGGAACCATCTCTGCCTGGTCTCACACAGCCAAGGATGGACAGACAGGGCAGAGCTGGGACAGGTTCTGCCAGGTCCATTGATTCCTTTGTGATGGATCTGGAGAGCAGAGAAGACAGTTGTGGAGAGAAGCAAACACACGAGTGGAAGAAGAGGGGGCCACATCCCCTGCCAGCGTGGGCACATGTGGGACAGACCCCAACTCACACTCTGCACCCCCACAGGTACAAGAGACACCTCCTGTCCCAGTTTGAGCAACACAGGACTAATTTCTCTTCCAATGCTCAGGAAAACTGTACTTTTGGAAGACTCTAGTGTCTGGACTTGTGACAATATTTCTTGGCAGGGATGTGAGTTTCAAGGTCTCAGTGTTTTCGAACTCCCCAGATGTGGGGTCAAGGAGGAGCGAGACCCGGGCACTTGACCCCCAGGGGTGTGAGTTTCAAGGTCTCAGTGTTTTCAAGCTCCCCAGGTGGGGGGATGAGAAGGAACGAGACCCAGGCACTTGACCCAAGCTGCCACCAGGGTTACTCTTCATACCATGAACATTTTCAATATAAATTAGAAAGTTTGCTGAGGAGCTGGGTCTCTCCTTTGATGGCTGGGATCCTGAGAACTCCTTGCCCCGGTGCTGGAGCCCTGAGCCCTTCCCTTCCTCCCGAAGCCACAGCATTGGCAGGGTCCCACATTGGCTGCCCCTGCTGGGAGGACCAGCTTCTGCTGATGGGATGGGCTGGGTGGAGGACCAGCTTCTGCTGATGGGCTGGGGATGGTCCTGGTATATTTTATATTGGTATTGGGATCAATATTGTTTTTTTAGTCTTATCGATGTTATTTATCTAGTGTTGTTCTATTAAATCTATTTATATTTCAACCCTTGGAAGGGTTTCAATTCCCCTTCCCAGGTGCGGAGGGGTCATCAGCTGATAGAATAATTGTCTAAACGACAATAAATCGTTGTGGGTTCCTCAAACCAAACCATGGGGACACTGGCATGTTCCCACCCACCTCAGACACTCAGGAGCCTCCTGCCCACCCGGGTCCTGCCTTGCACACACGCGTGTCTGAGCACAACCGAGCCCCCCTGCACCCTCAAAGGACACCCCCATCCCCAGCCGCAGCATCCACCGTGCCACCCGGCACTGAGAGAGGTCCCCTGGTAGGGGTAGAAACAGCTCGAATTAGAAACACAGTTAATCTCTGTCTAATTGAGGAGGCTGGAGAGAAATTAGGAGCTCCTGAAGCATAACCAAATGACCGTAAAGGATGCAATGACTCACGCTGCAGCGCCCGGCTGATGGATGACTCCAACCTCCTGCCAGGGGCTCGGGAGTACGGGGCTGAGGAGCCAAAGGCATATGCCAGATCCTGGTCACCTTTGGCAAATTCCTGGCTGGATTTACACCCCGGTGAGATCCACCAACCCCCTGGTCCCGGGCAGGACCTGGGGAGCTGATGCTGCTCCGAGCAGCCGTGCTGCAAAACATCTCAGCCAACAAGAGCACCCTGAGCCGAGCGCCCCGGCAGAAGGTTGGGGATTGATGTGTTAGAAACGCGAGTGGGGAGATGAATTAAGGCACAGGGACCCAGGGTGATTTGGAGAATGAAGGGAGAGGCAGAGAGCAGGACAGAGCTGAGGCTTGCTGTGATTCGGGAAGGACCACGAGCATCCCAAATCTACAACACCCTCCAGGACATCCGCACCTCAACCTGTGGACGGACAGAGATGAGACAGATGCACAGATTCAGCTGCAAATTTGTCCAATATTGGAGATTTTCTTCCTGTGATCTCTAGGAAGATGAGCACCAGCTCATGCCTGTGCATCGCCGTGCCCAGCAGCACTGGAGTGAAAACACCAGCCCGTGCTGGCTCCCAGCACACCGAGTCCTGGAAATTTGGCTCCATCCCATCTCGCTACCAGCACGGAGCCATTCTCCCCCGCAGACACCCGTTTGGGGAGCAGGAGGGAAACCAGCAGCCACCACCACATCACAGGGTGGCTCAGCACACCCAGAAATGGTCCGTCCATCACTCCCCAAGCTCCCGCATCCCTCCGTCTGACACCAGCCTCACAACCCAGCGGGAGCCCCCAGCTGGGGTCAAGAGGGTTAAACATGGTGGGAAGAAAAGGCAAGAAAATCAGCATCTTCCCCATGGGACAAGGGAGATGATGCCACTTGGCCAAAAGAAAAAGTGCAGGAAAGCTCAGCAATCTGCTGCTCAAGCCAGTTCCCCGCCCCGTGCCTCAGTTTCCCCATCTGTAAAATGGGGGCAATGGGTGGGGCGGCTTGTAAAGCCTTTTTTTGACACCTGCTGCAGGAAAATGGCACAGAACAGCAAGTTGCTCCTCAAACCAGCTGCTTGTCCTGATCCCTGCCTGATTCAGTGTCACCGTGTCACACAGCAGGATGGGGCTGAGCCACCAGGTTCAAGCCCAGCACACGTGTCTCCTCTGCTGGAGCAGGTCTCAGGGCTGTTGGAGGTTCAATTGAAGATTGAGAAGGCTGAGGGGGGATCTGAGCAACACCTATAAATGCTTAAAGGGTGGATGTCAGGAGAATGGGGCTGTTCTTTTTTCAGTGGTTTCCAGGGACAGGGCAAGATGCAATGGGCACAAACTTAAACATAAGAAGTTCCACCTAAACATGAGGAGGAACTTCTTCACTTTGAGGGTGGCAGAGCCCTGGCAGAGGCTGCCCAGGGAGGTGGTGGAGTCTCCTTCTCTGGAGACATTCAAAGCCCACCTGGACACATTCCTGTGGGACCTGCTCTGGCAGGGGGTTGGACTGGGTGGTCTCCAGAGGTCCCTTCCAACCCCATATCATTCTGTGATTCTGTAATTCCCCGTTCCCCCTTCACACCCCATCTCACTTTTCCATCTAAAAACCCTTGGTTAATGCTCCACACATAGAGACAACAAATTCAGCCCTGGATTTGCCGGGGAATACACCAGGATGAATCCCAGCCTGGGAACACACGCTGCTCCTGCCCCTACCCAGCACCTGGGTAAAGCCCCATGAACGTAGAGGAGAGCAGAGACCTCAGAATAAACCAAGAACATTTCATTCATGGCACCAATTACGGTTAGTTACTGTTTGCTGCGCCTGTGGGGAAACTGAGGCACAGCTGGGTTAAGTGCTTGCAGAGAAGTGGAACTCCGGATCTCCAGCCTCTGGGCCTGAGCTGGTTCCTGACCTCATTAAATCGGGAAAAAAGCTGCTGGAAAGTCAGAGCTGTGTAATCACAGAACCACAGAATGGTTTGGGTTGGAAGGGAACCTTAAAGATCATCTCGTTCCAAACCCCCCTGCCCTGGGCAGGGACACCTCCCACCAGACCAGGTTGCTCCAAGCCCCCTCCAACCTGCCCTTGAACCCCTCCAGGGATGGGGCAGCCACAGCTTCTCTGGGCAACCTGGGCCAGACTCTCACCAACCACAGAGTGAAAATCTTCTTCCTAATATCAAAGCCAAATCTCTCCTCTTTCAGGGTCAAACCCTTCCCCCTCCTCCTAGGGCTCCCCTCCCTGATCCAGAGTCCCTCCCCAGCTTTCCTGGAGACCCCTTTTAATGAACCCAGCAGGGTCGTATGGATCTACCCCAACCCTTAATTTACCCCAGGCTCTGTCTCCGACCTCCTTTGAGCGACCCACAACTCACCCCCCCATTGCATCCCATGCATGGGAGCAGCATCACACACCCTGCAACGCCTGTGGATGCTCCTGCAACCCAAGATCACACCAAAACACCCTCTTGGCTTTGCCATGGGGTGGACACAAAGCCGTGCTGCACCACCACCGAGCCTCCCCCAGCTCCAAACTGGGACACCAGGAGCTAAGTGTGCCAGCGGCCGGGAGAGATGCTGGGATGCAGGAGCTGGCCGCAGCGTGCTCCATCCCAGCCGGGAAGGAGATGAGGGAAGGGGGGGGGGGGGGGGCCCCCGGGGTGGGAAGTGCTGACTGCACAGGTCCTCGGATGAGGGAATGACTCATCGTGAAGATGACACCAGAGATGTTTTAATTATTGAGAGCGCTGCAGGTTTGCCAGCACCGAGTCTTGGGAGGGGGGGGACGGGGAACGATGTGGTGCCAGGAACAAGGCGAGCGCAGGGGGGAGGGGGGAAAACTGGGCTGAACTAGGCCTCATTCAGGGCTGCCCATCACTGTCAGGGTCAGGGGGGGGACGGGGAATGATGCGGTGCCAGGAACAAGGCAAGTGCAGGGGGGAGAGGGGAAAACTGGGCTGAACTGGGCTTTGTTCAGGGCTGCCCATCGCTGTCAGGGTCAGTGCTGGGAGGGGGAGAGAGCTGGGTTTGGATTAAGGATGAGTAACCTGCCCTCTCATTGGTGTCATGAAGGGTGTCCAGTCTCAGCACGGCTGGAAGAGACCTGGATCTTCAGGCTGCTCCTGGAAACCCAAGGAGGGGTGGGACAGAAAGATGGATTGGCTGGAAGGAGGGTTTGGGAAGGGACTGGAGCCTACACGAGGCGGCTTCAGGACCTAGGGAAAGGGAAGGACATCCTCTTATTTTTCCCCCTCTAACTTCCAAACTGCCCCAACGGGAACTGGGGGCTTCAGTGAGAAACCCTGGCTCCCAGCCTGGGATTGACCTTGACTTTGGCCCTTTAGGAAGAGGCCATCCTGGAGGTTCCTGCATCTTTGCACTGATGCACACACAGCGGCGAGTGGCTGCCCCTTTCCACCTCCAGAACCCAAACAACTCCTGTTTTGCCCCCAAAATCCCCACCCCGACATGCAGCGAGGCAGGATTGAGACATACCCCCTTCCCTGCCCCATCTCTCACCTCCTCCATTCTTCTGGCAGAGGTAGGGGAAGCGCCAGACGTTGCCCAGCCCCACGGAGTAGCCGATTTGAGCCAGGATGTACTGCAGTTTGCTGTTCCACGCCGGCCGGTTCTCCGCGTCCAGGTCCTCCTCCCCATCCTTCTGCTTGTCCCAGGTCTCCCCCGTCACGTTGAGGACGCTGCGTTTGTAGTCCACGGGTTCTTCGTGGGCCAGCAAGTCGGCCACCGACTCGGTGACATGCTCGCTGCTGTGCTCCCGCTGCGTCACCTTGCTGTTCTTCGGCATCGGGACGGCTCCTTGTGGCCCCGGGGGGCACAGAATGGGGCAAGGAGAGATAAATTCTGCAGGGAATGGCACCCGTGTGAGCTACAGCTCAGGCCTCACCTCCTCTTCATCAGCAGGACCTGAGGAGGGAAGGGGTCAAGAGAGGATGAGTTGGTTTTGCCTTACCCCATGGGTGTCCTGGTGTTAGTAGGAGCATCAACACCGGGGGGCCTTCACCCTAGATCTTGGGGACCTCGCACTGGCCTGGGGGATGCTAAGGGTCCCGTTCTCCATGAATGATTGTAGAATCATAGAATGGTTTGGGTTGGAAGGGACCTTGAAGATCATGTAGTTCCCACCAGGGGGTGGACACCTCCCACCAGCCCAGGTTGCTCCAAGCCCCCTCCAACCTGCCCTTGAACCCCTCCAGGGATGGGGCAGCCACAGCTTCTCGGGGCAACCTGGGCCAGGCTCTCACCACCCTCACACCAAAGAAGTTCTTCCCCACATCTCAGCTCCATCTCCCCTCTTTCAGGCTCAAACCCTTCCCCCTCCTCCTAGGGCTCCCCTCCCTGATCCAGAGTCCCTCCCCATCTCTCCTGGAGCCCCTTGAGGGACTGGAAGGGGCTCCAAGGTCTCCCTGGAGCCTTCTCTTCTCCAGGCTGAACCCCCCCAACTCTCTCAGCCCTCCCTCCCAGCAGAGGGGCTCCAGCTCTCCAAGCATCATGGACCAGGAGCAACCCCCTGGATCAGAATTGATGGACCAGGAGCAACCCCCTGGATCAGAATTCATGGAGAAGACCCTCCCACAGCCCACAGGAGGGAACTTCCCTGGGCTGCAGGGGACGGTGACAAGCGATGAAGCCAGTCACATCGCCGTGACATCTCTATTACCCTCAAACAACCCCATTCCCAGGCCACTGATGAGGGTTGACACCACATCCAGCCCCAACCAGAGCTCTGCCCCCTCCTGCCCAGCTCCCTCCCCTCCTGGCCCCTCGGCAGAGCCCAGGCTCAGCCCCATGACAGCTCGGAAGTGCTTGGGGACAGTGACAAACGCCCGGGCTATCTCTCCATCCCTGGACATTATCGGGAATGACTTAAAAGCCTGGGAGCCTGCAGCTAAATCTTCCCAGGCAGCTTTACAACAGATAACGGCTGCGAAACAGCGGCAGCCAAGGCAAAGCCATCAATCCTCCCGGCCCCTCCACCTTCCCAGCCTTCATCCTGGGCTGGGGAGAGCCGTACCGGTCCCACAGCATCCACCCAGTTACACCAGTTGGCCCCAAAACTGATGGTACCGGATCCAATGGGTGCAGGGCCGGGATGGGCACGGGTAGAGTAATTTATGGACCCATGGAAGGAGCGTGGGTGGGAGCGTGGGTTCATCACCGGCATGGCGATGAGTGGATCTACGTGGTGGGTCACGTTTCCAAACAGGCAACCATGTGTTTTTACTGGGGACTCCTCCAGCTGCGGGAGTGATCCTGCATGGAGGCGTTTCAGGGGGTGCCCGTGACCCAGCTCAGCCCCACAACGCTCGTCCCCACCTCAAAAAGCTTTGGAGCATCAGGGAAATCTGCTCTGCTGGGCTGGGGCTCCCCGACTAAGAAAGCACCACAACCCTCCTCTCCATACTGGGAGAACTGGGGTTTGACTGGCAGCTCCTTCCCAGATTGGGACTGTGGAGCTTCACCAACTGGGAAGAAGATACAGAAACCCCATCAGAAACCTCATATTTTGGAAAAATGACTCTCCCAAAAGGCCACACTTGCTTTTTTTCTTTCCCCTCCATCCCTGCTTCCCAGAAGACACTGGGCTGGTCACCAGCCCCAGTAGACCTGCTGGGTTATGAACCCCTGGATATCTCTCCCACCCTGGCCTGGCCACAGCATCTTCTCACCCTCACCCTGGGGGTTTTCTTGTTCAGTTCAAACCTCATACAAGACCCAGGTGGCATCTCAGAGGTGACATTGCACAAATAAACCGCCAAGTGCAATCCTTGGGGCAGCCAACCCTTGGTGTGGGTGGCCGGTCTCTACCAGGATGGATGATGTGGGATGGATGATGCGGGATGCATGATGCGGGATGGACAATGCAGGATGGACAACCCACTGTCCCCTCTAGCAAAATGAAGGAAAACTCTCCCATGATTTCCCAGAACCATCTTCAGCTCTTCTTTCCTTTGGACAACCATCTTTTTGACCCAATTCCATTCACAATTCCAAACCTTTTCTCAGCAGAGGCTTCCACCCAGGCAGCAAAGTCCATCCCCAACCAGCACACCGAGGTCCCGACCCGACACGGGAGGGAAGCAAAGCATCAGCAGCAGGAAACCTCACCCTCCCTTGCCCTCACCTTGGTGTTTTTTCACCCCTGAAGAAAGTTCCCCCTTTGCCAGGCCCCGTTCCTATTAGAAAAGCTATTTTCAGCCGTTGGCTGCATCCGTTGCCAGGCAACCGTGTCGGCTCCGCATCTTCCCTGGATCCGGCTCCTCTGGAGAAGCCGTTTGAATTATTCTTTCAAGCCTGGCCCAGCAATGTTTAATTTCTTAACGAGGGCTCATTCACGTAAACCGCTCATGGCTCAATCGTGGCAATTACCGGCACGTGGCTGCCCGGGGCTGGAGCATCCTCAGCCTGGATGGAGACAGGCACGGAGGGCAGGGAAGGGGCTCATCCAGCAACCAGGAAATCACTGGGATTTCCATCGATTTTGGACCAGGCTGCGTACAGATTAGTGCAGACCTGGTTGAATCACCCACGAGTCGTTCGCTGCTCCGTCTGCTCAGCAGCCACTTAAGCTCCTTCTGAGCCAGGGTGACTCAGACCTTCACGAGGATTCAGCCTCAGGGGCTGAAGACTCTCTTTATATTAGGGGTAGAGCCTAGAAGACCTGCAATCTGCTGGCCAAGCCCCCAAAATTCAGTGCCTGATGGTGAGGGGACCCAAACTGCTCTCCTGGGACAGCTCAACCCCTTGAAGCAAAGCCTGGGAGATGTCCAGCTCCAAGGGAGGTAGTGTTGAGCCAGGCCAACACAATGGGGTCAGGACAGACCCCACAGCATCTCTCTCTGGATCTCTACCTCTGCCCCTCCTCAATCTAGGTCCCACCCCAGTGTTATCCTTAGGAGCTGAGAGGCAGCAGGACACAGTGGTCCACGGAGACCAGGTTTCTTCAAGCACCTCCAAAGCCCCAGAAGCTCACAATTCTATGGGGGATGCTCAAGACATCGACATTCCCAACAGATTTGGGCGTCAAAAGGGGATCTTTTGATCTTTGGCTGCTCTCCTGGGGCTGGGGCAAGGCCTTTCTAGGCACTGGGATGAGATGAGGGTGAAGGAGCAGAGGTACAAGTCTTCCTCCCCACGGGAGATGCGCCCAAATTGAACCAGAGCAGGGGAAAACCACAGCAGAGGTCCGGATCTTGATCTCTCATGGCTCTGTCACTGTGTCCCCATGGCTGGCTTGGGGAACTCCTGCTGTCTCCCAAGTGGCTCAGCCCCAAATTGGTGATGGGGGAGTTGCCCGGAGGAGATGCAGACCTGAAGGAGAGCGGACTGGTCCCAACAGTGATGCTATGAACATACCCAACCTTTGCCGTCCACATCCCTGCAGGTACCATGAGATGAGCCCAGCCAGAGCCAGCACAAAGTCACCAACCCCCACAGCACAGAGACCTGGTCCAGGGAACAGTGGGGTCAACGAGACCCTCCCTAGTAATTTCCCCAGCATCTTGCATCAGCCCAAAGCTCCGCAGCCCTCAAATCGGAAAGCGCAGTCCAAAGCCATCTGAGAAAGGTATTTCCACTCACTTCTTTGATTGAAAGAGGGAATTTAATCAAAAATTCATCTGCCAAAAATAACAACCACCCTGCGAGAAAGACGAGGCAGATCAGCTGACAACCAGGAGCTTTCCGGGCTGGAGAGAGATAGAAAACCCTTGTCACTGACAGATGGAGATTCAGCTTGTTTACTTAGCCCTCATGACCTTAATTTTCTTAAATGTGCATTTTTTTTTTCTTTCTTTCTCTTTAGAAGACAGATTAGGGTCATTTTTTTTCTTTCTCTTTAGAAGACAGATTAGGGTCTTTCAGAGCCCACGGCTTCTACTAACCTCACCTGCTCTGCTGGACCAGGGGTGCCACTGCACCCACCGCCCTGCCTGAGTAAAACCCATGTTGATGTCACCCATGCAGGTACCTGGAGAGGGACCATGGCTTTTCCCAAGACAGGGCCAGGAAAAGGACCAGTTTGTGGTGGGATCAGTGCGGGTGTCTCTGGAGATGTGATTGTGAGATGACTTGAGAGCAGCCATCAACATCCCAGGGGGTGTCACAAAGGGAAGACTCTGGGGAAAGCATCACTGGGTTGTCCCTGGGGACAACTCACCTCCTGCATCTCCCACCGCCGGCTGTCCCCAGGTATCTCCTGGAACAGGACTCCCACTTTCATGGTCTCTGGTGGGTACCTTCATGTCCCACCTCTTAGAGGACCTCAGCCCCCTGCAAAGCAACAACCATCCTGAGCCCCGTTTCCACAGCGGACTCACTGGCTGAGCCTTGGGCTCCTGCTTGCACCAAGGGACAATCCCCCCTGTCCCCTCTGCACAGCGGTGGCCTTGGCCACCACATCCCTTTGCACCAACAGCTTAGGAGCCACCCCTGCAGTGAGTAGAAGGCCTACAGCAACTGTTTGCCACGGTACAAGCTGGATTCACCTCATCCAGGGAAGGCGCAGAGATGGAGAAGCTCCTGGTGTGCTCCACCCATGGGATTTAATCCCTGCCCGGAGGCTCCCATTGATCCCAGGTGGAGATGGAAACACCCAGATGGGGACAAGCTGCCGTTTGGGATGAGTGAAGAGCTCCAGGAGCTGAGGGCACCACGTCCCCCAGCCCAGCCCTGCCGGCAGCATCACCAATGGTTCAGCAGAGGACAGATGCTCCAAGCCACGTGTCCTGCCTCGGCCCGTCCTTGCTTTCTCGGGAAGACGGCGGGGGAGCAATAAAGCAGGCTGGA